TTGCCAAAGAAAACAATATGAAAGCACACATTTACCAGTATAAATACTTTTTTTCATTGATATTTCCTTTTTTATAAGCAAATTCATACTTTGTCATCTTTTGGTTGCTAGATGCGACCCAGTCGTTCGTTCAATTAGTTCGGTATTTACAGATGCGACCCAGTCGTTCGTTCTTTTTTAAACGTTGCCATGCGCAATGGCAATGTTCTTATCCCTTGCTTGCTGCTAGCTAGCCAACTAGCTAAGGCCACACAGTCACTACCTCTGCAGCCAGAATAACAGAAAGGTTAATTATGTTGCGTTTGTTTAAGCTATTTATCCCTCTTATACCACAGTTGCTAAAGAAAACAGTAAGAAGCACACATTTACCGGTAGAAATAAAACGTACTGTTGATATTTTCATTTATATGAGCAAAGTCATACTTTCTCATCTTTTGGTTGCTAGATGCGACCCAGTCGTTCGTTCGATTAGTTCTATATTTATGGATGCGACCCAGTCATTCGTTCTTTATGTTCCGCTGCCAAGCTCGCTGGCAACTTTCTTATCCCTTGCTTGCTAGCTAGCTAGCCAGCTAGCTATGGCTAACACAGTCACGACCTCTTTAGCCAGAATAACAGCAAAGTAGCTGTTTTCTATTGACATTCATTTGGATACATCCATAACAATGAGCTGATAATGCCCGATTTTGCCTGACATAGCTAGAAAAGTTTGCCTTCTCATCAGGACACTCTTCAACACTGAATATGAATTATGAGGAGATCACATTGCATATCAAACACTAGGCTAGAAGCTAGCTAAATAGTTTGTTGCTAGCAAACCTGCCAATATGACAACCAAATTCAAAAATATCAGTTGCTGAAAACAGCTGGTCAAACTAGAAACATGGAAGGATTTGACAGCTTTAGCGGTGGAGAGGACAGGAGAAATGTATGTTAATCACTCACCACATAAGGTCATCAGATGCTCCCCAAAAAATATGTTTCTGCAAAAAACAAATCAATGCTAGCTAGCGAAGTTTTTTCCTCATTGGACATGCGTTTATAATGAATCCAATTTTAGTTTGTGTGGTTGTTGGTTTAGCTTTCTGTAACTTTGTGGCATGTCTAGGCACATATTGCGTCATGATTGCAAAGTGTCCCGATACCCTTTCCAACTGCCCCGATATCTTTTCCAACTGTCCCATTATCTGGTTTTAATGTCCATTCTAGAATGCTCTTCTAGCCAATCAGAAACGTGTATAAACACAAATAATGGTTGAAATTAGTGTGCCCTCTTCAGTTCCACTGAGCATGACACCCATGGTCACCAGTGCCTGCTTATTGAGAAGCCAGCTCTGTCTATACTCTATGACAATACAATGGTGTGAAGTAATGTGCCATTACTTACAGTATGCAATAACATCAGTAGAAAAATGTCAAATTCTTTGTCTAGATTGTGCTTGTTTAGTTCTCATTGTGCAGACTGCTGCTCTGTCATTAGAGCAGACTTGATTTGTGATTACAGGCCTCTGGCTGGATGTCCCAGGGAGAGAAATCCTTCAATCTTCCTCATGAAACGCAGACATCCCACTGCTAAGCTCCGGAAAACAAGACTCTCGCCTGGTAGCGCTAGAATATCGGATGCTTTCTGGGACCTCTTCTGTTTTGGAAAGGAAATGTGCTCTGGCGTTCCCTGGTTTCCTGGTCGTCTCAGACTCTGTCTCAGTCTAATGCGCCATGTCCATCATTCATTCATTATTGTGGCATTTCATCCTTGTAACTGAATCTGGATATCAGTGATGAGCATGAAACATGGAAAGGATTTAACCCCCTAACGCGCACGCCACATGCACGCACACACGCACATGCACAAACACACGCACGTGCACAAACACACACACACACGCACACACACACACACATAGTTTGTATACTCATGACTGCTTTGTAAACAGCACTGTCCCTATGTGCCTCTACATTGTTTTTTATGGCCTTAATGCTATTTCCAGCGATCTCCCTGGCGGTTGTAGTGCATTTTTAAGTAGTCTTGGAAGAGGCTGTCCTGTCACACGACCTCCTCAAGTGGCATGTTAATCGGTTCTTGGGCTGGTCAAACAACACCCTTACATTCTTCTGGGTGTTCCTTTCATTAACACAGTAAATGTATCCCCATTCCATTTCACCATAATAGAACCACTTGGAGATAAAGCTCCCTTTATTCTACTTGGTAGGCTAGGGGACACTTAGCATACCAAAGCAAAGGAAGTAGAAGTGTAGTCTCTGTCCTGCTTTCTCACTTGTTAGATAAGAGTACATTGAAGCACAGCTGGCAGGTCTCCTATGGAGAAATATTAACAGCCAGGGGAGATAAAGGGGAAATACACTTATGTCCTATCAGTTTGGTCTTGCTAGTAAGTAGATGTCCCTGTTTATAACTTTGTATTTTTCAAGTGTATTATGGATCACACAAATGTAATAGTGTTTATTATGTCAAATCCGTGCCAGGTTTGGAGCCTTATTTTCTATAAATCCCTATTGTATATCCTAATGTTTGATACACACGCAGTAACAGAGCCTTATGTAGGATGTGTACTTTCAATCAAAAATTCCATGATACACTGAAAATGGAGACAGGAGAGAATGTCCTTCATTTTCCAACTCCTATGCTCCTGCAAACAGCTTTCTACTGCAACGAGGGCAACCTCTGCATTTATAGAAACATAATCCATGTCTGTTGGTCCAGGTCCAACGACAACAGAAATACACAGAAGAACTACCCTTACATGGAGGGGAAAAAGTCACTGCATCAAAAGTTTATTACCAAGTTTTTATTTTCAGTTTGGTCATTTGTTCAAAAAGGTACTAGGCATTAGAATACAAATAATACCTCCACCGAGGGATGTGTGCATACAAAGGTAACACAAATGTGAAAAACGGCAGATTATGTGTTTCAGTCTATCTAACAGTGTATTTGATCTAACTACAGTTAGTAAACCAGGTTCAACCAAATAACCACATGCTACCTCAATGCTAGATCTAGGAAAGAGAAAAAGGTAAGCCTAAGTACAACACAAAAAGAAAGAAAGATGACCACCATAATTTGTATGATAAGTTTTATTGGCCAATATTGGCTTCAATAGGCTAGTGGTTGTGATTTCAGTCAACACAGATCTCAGTTGTCAACCTCCTGCATGTCCTAGGGGCCCATTAGTATTCTAATGCTAAGAGAACACAAAACAATAACATATATAGACCACAAGTCAGATGCAGTATTTCTAGTCTCTCTTTTTTACCACTTTATATTTGTTTTGAAATACTTTGTGACTCTTTTGCTCTTCGAGTCTGGACTGGACCAACCTCTTCAAGTCTGGATTTAAGTCAGACTCTGCGTTTTCATTTGTGCGTGAAGATAAAAACTGCTCAACATATTTTTGCCATAATTATACAATTGGCAGTCTCAAAGCAGGTCTTGGGGGGCCTGGATGGATTACCCAAAATGGGTCACCTGGCTTAAGGCACTGTCTTAAAGCACTGTTGCACACTAGCAACTGGGTCTTAAAGGGGGTTGCATGCCCTGAGTAGTGTAATGTAAGCCCTGTGTTTGCAGCTCGTAACTTCAGTGATGATGTACAATCAACCCAAATCCTTTGCATCAGCAGTTTGTCATTGTGGATCCCTATTTGGCTGCCATTCCAGTGTTACATACATACAGCTGTTACTGTACTGCTGTTAAAGACCAATATCAGAGTTCCTCTTAGTTTTCAAGGATTCACGCCAATTGTAATGCAATCCTGATATGCACTTGGCTGTGAGTGGATGGCAAGGTCATTGTGTTTAAACACTCGGCCTATAGTACGCTGAGATATTTCCTTCACTGACATTTAGTTGAAATTATACCTAGGAATTATACCTAACATTTAGATCTGAGAATTGTGTCCAATATGATACTGTACACTAAGTACGTTTTTGGTGGGGGCAAGTATGTGGAGTGTATATTTTTCTCAAAAGAGATGCTAAAAATAACAATTCAAAACAATTTGACAAAGCAATATGGCACACATAGTGACATAAAAAGATCATTAGAAAAAGACAATAAAAACACTTTTTAAAAGAACAAAAAAGTTATAATTGCTCAGTATGGCTTTTGATTATCTATTGATTTAAAATAGCTATAAAGAGTGGGTGACAGTCCGGCACACATACATTCATTTTATGCCTTAAACAGAAATGTTTTAAGATCGGATCACAGTTCATAAAGTTGAAAAGCACCCCAAAGGATTGTTAGTAAGAGGGGGAAGTCTTTAGATGCAGAGGAGAGAACGGTATCATTCAAGTAAAAGCAAAAAATAAAATGAGTTTTTCAGAGATTAGGGTCTGTAAACCAGTAGCAAACTTTTCTGAAATTCTGAAACTTTGGAACAATATCCTAGTTCACTGTTTCAGGACATACAGGAAAGTTAGCTTGCTAGCTTGAATCTCCTTTGTGAAATGCCCCTCTGCTCAGATGAAGATTCACTTCAGATTGGGATTGAAATGCCATATTCAAACAGTGGTCATTATGTTAATGCCATTTAGCCCATAAGCTGCTAGATAGGCCACAGTACATGTTAGTTAGGGCTCTATTCAATCAGATCCGCTTTAGCCGACATCCGCATAGCGGTTGTTTTTGCTGTGTCGGGGGTGGAACTGCGTTAGAGCTGTCAAATCCACAAGTGGCTCCTGGCATTATACTTAAAGCGGACATTGCCATTGGCTGCACGGAGTCGCATTAAGAGAAATCCCAAGTAGCCTTGTTTACATGTTCAAACACTGGAATGTGAGACGTAATCTACACCTTGATTAGGCTGATAGAAATCCTCATTATTTCATTTAATGATTTTCAATTAGAACATCATTATTTCTATGTAGCCTACAATTTCTCGTTCTGAACTTCTAACACGAGTGGGACGGGTGTGGCTTTGCAACAATGATCAAGACCAGCTTCTCACCGATTTGACGGCACTAAAGCAGTTCCACCTTCAAACGCCAAAACAACCGCTATGTGGATGTTGGTTAAAGCGGATCTGATTGAATCTAGACCTTAGATTACGTAACTCATCCAGTCCATTTCAACCATAGTGCTGTGTTATTATATGACCAACATTTTATATAAGTAAAAATTGCATTGTTATATTCTATGAGCAACATATTACATGACTGAAAATGTTAAGGAATAACTCTTGTTTCAGCTTACAAAATAGTTTTGGATCATTGCAGTATGAAAATGAGATTTTACAGTATTCATTAAAAAAAGGTTATCACAGTTTTGGTAAGTTAATGAGCTGATGCTACTTCATGCAAATTAAGTCCTGACATGCATCTTTTGTTTAAAGGTGTTGTTGTTGTCATTGTTGTTTTTATTTGGTGGTTATATGGGTTTGGTGCTCATGGCTAAGCTCTTTCCTCTTCACTGCTGTCCCTTGAAGCAGTAGACACCGAAGAGCTTTTGTTTTTTGTCGGGGAATCCCACGAAGCGCACGGCCGCCTCTGTCGGGCTGCAGTTCCTGCGGGGTCTGGAGATGGGGTAGCGAACGCTGCCGTCAGCCAGCCAGCCAGAGTCGCAGCGGTCATAACCGTTCAGCTTCCATGCAGCGTACATCTGGCCCACCTTGGCGATCTCCGCTCCGTCATCCTGGCACGCCTGAACAGCCTCGTTGAACGTTAGCTTGTCAGGCTGTACCAGCCAGTAGAAGTGGCCTGAGGTCAGAGAGGGGAAGACGGCCAAAGGTCAACAGAGAATTTTGGTTGGGTTGCCTCATTTTAAAGAGAGGTCAATTAGCTATGCTGATGAAGTCTGCCCTACTGTAATGTATGTCTATCTATTTCTACTACTTGTGTTAAAATAATAGATACTGTATGTCCAATGACTTACTGGAAAACAACCACATAAAGCAGACACAAACTCACCGTTGAGGGCAGAGGTGAAGCAGAAGACGTCGTAACGGCTCTTGGACTTGTCACGCTGGCCGTAGTTCCTCAGGCCCGCCCCGGAGTTGACACCTCCGCAGGCCCCTCTGGGGTTGGTTATGGGGTACTGCACAGAGCCGTCGGTAAGCCAACCGGCATTGCACCAGTCAAGGCCACTCCTCCAGGCCTCGTAGAGCTGGTCGAAGGAGGCCACCACAGAGTCCTGGTCCAGGCAAGCCTGCTCAGCATCGTGGAAGTTGAGGTTGTATCGGCCAAGCCGTGGGGAGTAAGGGAACACCACACCTGGGAATGAGCAAGGAGCTGGGGTTAATATCATAGTTCATTTGGCTCTTAAGCTGAATGGAGCTCCCACTCAGGAAAATGCCAACTGAACTCACTATTCTATTGTGAGAACTCTTTTAGCGAGTCGGAATAGATTGTTATCCTTTTTATGACATATACTATTTTGAATGTGTCCTTACGTGAATGTTTATTTTAGGTCTTTAATTTAATCACCACAGTGGATAGAAACCCATTGCATAGTTATGCATGCTATATAAATACAGTTCATTGAATTATACCGTAAATTAAAACATACAGACACACATAAAACACGGTATATCACAGCATACTGTAGGTGAGGAATATTATTCTAACACAATACAGTCCATCTGAATACAGATCATTTTGGATGTATGTTTTACACACTCATCCTACTGTGGGTTTGCAGACCTAGCCAGTAAATAGGATGAAGAATGTGTGTGGGCCTTGGGTGTAGACTGGACCAGTCATGAGGGAATGGGGGTTTCTGACATTCGATCTGATAGTATATGTTAGTGAGTGTAAGCAATTGTTGTTCTTGGTCCTGCAGCTCCTGGTGAGTGTTAAAAGAGCAGCTGCCTCCAGAGAGGCTTCAGACTTCGCTAACTGCCTAATTTTGTAGTATTCTGCCCCTCAGCAGGGAAGGGAGATTCATCTCACGCAAGCTAGGTGTGACATCTGCTCCTTTTTCCAAACAAGCTGTTTACATTTTAATTAGGCTGCAACAGCCAAGCTAGCAAGTATGTTAGGCCCGAACAAGACTCCAAAGCACTATAATACAAAGCACAATCATCAACTGTGTCCAGCAAATGGAACCTCTGGTGTCAATCATTGGGTGGGTTACTTATGTCATTTTACAGCCGTAAAACAGCCCCTTAGGTATTATGGTTATGTAATGGGATTAATTCCCTTGACTCAGACTTTGCTGGTCCACTCCTCTATTGTCCAGCAAATGTAATCCCTTATACATGTAGAGCATGGCGCTTGCAACGTCAGGGTTGTGGGTTTGATTCCCATGGGGGACCAGTATGAAAACGTATTCACTCACTACTGTAAATCGCTCTGGATAAGAGCGTCTGCTAAATGCCTAAAATGTAAAATTATGTGAGGGAAAGGTGGCTATCATTTGGCTGTAGTGATTGTTGACATACTGTTTTGGAGATGCAATGTTCTTGCTAGCTAACAGAGAGGGTGGTGTTTGACCCTTTGTGGTTTAGAAACAACTAGGAGCAGGTAAAGCAAAAACAATCCCTGTAACATATTAGATTGTTACATCAGCATCTGTAGTTTCATCTTTTACACAAGCCTGCATCCCATGGTAGCCTAAGTACCTGACTGCTGGACTGTCACAACCAGCATTGAGGCTTTTCATTGGGCATGACTTTGTTCCAATGTTAACAATGGATAGTTGTGCCAGCCTGTTCTCATTATGGCTAGCAAGCTAGCTTTTCTCTTACCCCAGAGCAAAATCTGCTCAGGCGGTCTTGACCCAGATGGGAACTATGACCATGTAATATTATTGGACGCATTCAGGCTGACTCAGTTTTAAGGATAGAATGTTTTTTAAAAAGTTGTATTTGTACCACATATTAAAAGGAAGAACAGGACTCATTTTATGATTATGCAAATAGTATGAGCAAGGAGGATGTTTGGATAGTTGCGGAGTGGGATTAGTTCAAATGGAAAATGTGTTTTCATTTACTGCAGTGTAAGGCTGTGTGAATATAATCAGCACAAACTACGAAAAAATGAACAAAAGCTGTCTTCTTTTTTGTCTTTTGTCTTTCTACACCAATTTGTAAGTCGCTCTGGATAAGAGCGTCTGCCAAATGATGTAAATGTAAATGTACACATGAATCAATAAAATGGTGTTGAAAATAAGGAAACAGGCTCTGGCTTGAAACCATTGTTTCTTGGCTCTGGTCTTGAAACCATTCATTTCTACCAGACAGTAGTTTATGGGTAGGGTCATGAAAACCTCCTGTCCTTATTTACAGTGTAACAAAAGTATAACAACACCATAAAGACACAACAGTGAAGACAAAATGAAATGGAGGGGGGTGACGTGAAGTGCAGGATGATGACATGAGATGGCTATCGCTGAGCCGGGGCAGGAAGTAAAAAGATAAAGATTTACCATCGCTGTAGCCTACACTACCTTGCACCTCCAAGGTAACCTCATGGATGACATCATCCATGCCATCAATGACCTCACAACTGAACTTTCCCATGTCGTCCAGGGACACGTCGTTGATGAGCAGTGAGGCATCATCATCGTCGGCCTCCAGCAGGTGGACACGGCCCAGGAAGCTGCCGTAGCTCTTCTTGTGGAACCCCATGGACACCAGCACATCCTCCTCTAGTGACCCGTCCGCAGACAGCTTGGTCCACTTGATCCTCATGCCCATGCGGCCGAAGGACATCCCATGCTGGCGGTGGAGCCGGCATGGTAGAGTGATGTTGGAGCCGCGACTGGCAAACACCCGGTTCTGATCACCAAGTTCAGTCTCTGGGAAGGACAGGAGAAGGTGTAGCGTAAGTCAAGATGTACTAAGGCATCAGAATAATACAGTAGAATACATAACAAAGTTGTATTAATTACTGGTGTCAGTTCTTAGGTGTCACGTCTTTTAATGTTTTGGGTGAGTAATGCATTGATTTTAATGATTGGACAAGGACATACAATTGTACCAGAATCAAGATTGCCCTCAATAATTATGGCCTTGCATGTGTTTGATTGGCAAGCAAAAAAGCAGTAAAAGATCTCTGAAAAATGCCCCTCTCAACATTGCCTATAAACAGGCTCTGTCCTCTAAAATTTTACGCTTTTGAAACCCATAATGACTGTGGCTTGTAGTTGAACAATGTTAATATAGCTATGAGACCAGATTGTTTGTCACAAAATGTCTTTCCCATTGTGGCATGGCTCTGTCCCCCTAGCAATAATTTGCAGAGCAATCTTGCCATGTTCCTGGCACTAGTGGTTGGGTATGGGAATGGGGGGCAGTTTAAATGGACATAACTGTATAGGCTTAACTTTATAGTGTATTTTGGTGGGGGGGTGCAGTAGTGAAACTGACTACCAGCAAAGTTTCCTTATCACTCTCCGAGTCTTACAGTAGTTAACACATTGTTTTTTACAGACTTGGGTCACACTATACACTGTAGACATATTATTTGAATACTTTATGGTGATTGTGTGTTATGAACACACACGCACACGCACACGCACACACACACACACACACACTCCCCCTCTTTGTAGGGGCCAGTCAGCTATATCATAAAAGTGTCCCTTCAGTCCTGATTAGATTCAGTTTTGGGAACCAGCCAGTCTCCCGCCTCTGGAGCAAATAATATGCAGCTAGCTCTCACCAAACTGTATACCACGACCAGCTCTGGCAGTTATCAAATGCAACGTTATTCCACATTAACCCCCGAGATAAAAATGTTATGTTTCACCCGCCCCAGCAGACTTGTGAAAAACATGAGTTGGGCATCCTGCTATTCAGCATTTACAAAAAAAGGTGACTATATTGTTTGCAAACTGACACGTTTTCCCTCACGTTATGGCCATCATCATTCTTTCCCTCCCTCCCCTCCCCCTCCCTCCTTCCCTCCCAGCCTCCCTCCTGGCCTCCCTCCTAACCAGGCCACCCTTCAGTTCAGAGTGGTAGCTGCTATCAGTCACTCCACGTGAGTTCCCACAATCTCCCTGGCCTCCAGCCCACTGAGCCCAGGCAGGGACATGATGGATGCACTTGACCCATGACCCACTCACCACAACCAATAAAGCTGTGTGTAGAGCCCCAGGATATACAGCCCCCTGGGCTGGACAGAGCAGCCAATGGTCACCACACATCAGCCACTTCTTAAATATATGATGTAGTAAATTAAAGTGTTTAAAAAACACAATGCTGACACATCGCACTTCAATTAACTATACAAACATGGCTAAAAGACAAACAGTTAGTCTATATGATCTACGGAAAGAGTAGAATAAGCATTTACTGTAAAATAAGCATTTACTGTAAAATAAGCATTTACTGTAAAATAAGCATTTACTGTATGCAGTGGTGGAAAAAGTACCCAATTGTTATACTTGAGTAAAAGTCAAGATACCTTAATAGAAAATGACTCAAGTAAAAGTGAAAGTCACCCAGTAAAATACTAGTTGAGTAAAAGTCTAAAAGTATTTGGTTTTTTCATATACTTAAGTATCAAAAGTAAATGTAATTGCTAAAATATACTGAAGTATCAAATGTAAAAGTATAAATCATGAAGTAAATTCCATGTTCATAATTGTTTGGCGAGCTACTCATAGGTGGTCTGCGAGCTACTGGTAACTCGCGATCGACTTGTTGGAGACCCCTGGCCTATATGATGAGATTATTATTATGGACAAAAGAGCAAGATTATTTTTATATGTCAAACTGCAGCAAAGCATAGATTATCATGTCACCAGAATAATATTGAAAAGGATAATCAAGCTCATCACCTTGCACTTTCACCACCCTGTGAAGTTCATGATAATTTATTTTGTCTGTAGCCTAAACTGCATGCTTTCCCGACAACTCGACATGAGTTCCCACAATCTCCCTGACCTCCAGGCCCTTCACAACAATATATGCATAAAAGCATTTCCACCCACATTTCTCGCATTATTAATTTTACCGACACAAAAAGATGCCACCTTGTCTAGCGTATTTTGTTTTGTCGACATTTGGAAAGTTGACGGAAAAAAATACTGTTTCCATCACTACATTTTTTATCCGACATATAAAAAGGTTGGATGGAAACCTGGTTAGTGATCAAATTATGTCAGAAGCTACTAACTAGTGTCCACAGTCATCCTAGCCAGTATCTAAGCTTAACAAAATAGTATGCCTCTCTCTCTCCCTCTTTCCCTTCCTCCCTTGTGTCTGACTGTCTCTCCTGGTGCCTCTGTCTCTTTCTCTCTTTCTCTTCTTGTCTCTGTCGGGTTCTCGTTGAGCCACACCAAAGCCATGACTGGAAAACGGTTCTGCTGTCTCTTCAACAGGCAAAATCTTTTCCACATGTGCCAATACCGGTGCAGGAATCACTACCAGGCGCTCCAGGTTAGCAGCCTTCTGCTCCGATCATCTCTCCCCCCACCCCAACTTCCTCCACCCCTGTTTTTCACCCAACCTCTCTAAACCCCATAACCCCATTCTCCCATGCACACAGAGCAAATAGTCGACACGTGGCTGGGCTTAATAGAGTGGCCTATACTTTATCAGTCGCACGCTATCCTGCAGAGGGGTTTAATGAACAGAAGCTGTGCTGCCTGACAAATGTAATGTCACCCTATATCCCTAACTCCAAACGCTCTTTCATTTCCTTCCTTTCCTCAGGGCTGCAACTCACTCACCACCACCCCTCCCCTCCATACCCACCCAGACACCTCACCTCCATCCAGGCAGGCAGGCGCACCAGATGCACGCCAAAGGGTTTAAGAGGCAAAAATAATTAATGGGGCGTGGAGAGTTTCTTGAAGAAGCCAAGTGTCTTTGTATGAGTTCCCCCTCTGTCACTGGCTTATGACTCACAGCTTCTCTCAGCCTCATAAATTCTGGACTTGGGAAGCCGTTGACTGAAGTTTGATTGGAAACTGAAAGCCCAGAATGACACAGTCACTCCTCATCAAACCGGGCGCGCATGATGACGTCAACGCCAATCGGCCAGGATTTATCCCTAAACGTTTCTGATTCTTATTCAGCAGATACGAGGCAAAATAATAAAGACCTTGTTTGTCTGATTTATAGAAACATTGTTCTGGCTGAGGTTTATAATCCCTGAACATATGAGGCTGGGGATTGGGTGTACATGGTAAAAATAAGAGATCTCATAGCTAACAGGAAACACTATGCGGTTGAACGTAAACAAAAAAAAAACCTGTACAAGGAGACCCCATACAGCACAAATACTGACAACATGCATCTGAAACATGAAGAACAGACAGATCCTGCACAAAATACTATACAAAGAATGACATTGTAAAGATATATTGGTGAACAAAGAATGACTTTGTAAAGATATATTGGTGAACACTTGCACACAAAAATGCCTAATTTCAGTAGAGACATGAGTATAAGACTGCTCTGTTACCCCTACCCCTGCTACCTCAGTTACCAGTGGAGATATATTGCCCTTGAGAGTATGTGGCCCCAAGTAATATACACTGCAATCATAAAGTGGCAGCCTGGCATGTGTATTTAACCACTTGGCAAACAGCCAAGTATTTTTTATATCAAGCCTTAGCTTATTTATACAAGGCTATTTCTGTGGGGTCAAGGGTTACCCCTAATTGTCAGATGTAACGTATACAAACGGCTCATTAAACCATTACCAACCATTTCCCCCCCACATATTATGTTAAGGGTGGGGTTAAAATGAAAGAGAGCAGAGAATAACTAAACACAATTCTCTCTCACTCCGTAAAAGCTTACAGTACTGAGTTATTGGAAACAGCTGTGTCTTTGAGAGTGTAGCAACGTAGGCAATAAATTAACAGTAACATCATAATGGAATAAATTAACAGTAACATCATAATTGTCCAACGTTGCCATGCGGCATATACTGTATGTTCTGCATCTACAGGCATTTAATAATGTTATCCTAAACTTATATTAACTTGATTGTGGTCTGAGATGTTGAAGGAGCAACCGAGCAAGTTGATTAGTCACTAATTAGCCTATAAGCCTAAATCAGTATGTATACAGAGAGAGAGTATGTTACACAGCTGTAACTACATGTGTCTCATTGAGTAGAAAACCACACCAACCCAGGCCTGCTAGACATGCTATCCTTTACAACATCCTACAGCTCTGCACAGCTAGTCTGAATCAATAAGAAGATGGAGTTAACAGGCACAGCTGTGACCAAGGCACACACCTACACACACACCCCTGGCACGTGCCCAAAACACTTTCACTCACTCTCATACACATACACACGCATGCATGTACAAGCACACGCACAAACGCGTGAACACGCATGCATGCACGCACACACATACACACGTCAACTCTCTTAAACACACACAGATTAACGTTCTGTTACAGCGAACATACTGAATTCGGTAAACCCAATCGATTGTGAGATATGACATATAAATTTTTATGTGATACATTTGGGTCGCAGGTAACAATTTCATATTTTCTGAAGTCTCTACCAACCAAGGAAATAGGGAGCCAACCTGATCCTACCTCCCACTTTTACATTGCAATCCCACTGGACATCATTCCACCTGTCAATCAACATTGTCCATCACTTTAGGTTGTCGTAGGCTATTGACTCTACATCCCTTGTTTTATGGTGTCATCAGATCATTACGGCAATATACCTATAGCTACTAAAATGAGAGGGATCGCCTAATTAGTGTTGAATGTGCATCATAATGTCCACTTCATAGGATGACACATGAGCTAAATTATGTAACAAATGTTTCATTAGATTGTAACTTTTCTACAGTAATCAGCTGACTTAAAATATATCCTTGTAAAATAATTTCCCCACTGCAGATTGGCTATAATAGCATACTGATGCGTGCATCTATCGAAATGCGATTCATGGTCACGCCACATTTTTTGAGGGGTTGAATCAAATACGCTATTATTAGGCCTACATTTACATTTTGAAATCGGTAGACTAATGACAATAATTTACAAAATTATGCAAGAGATTTCGTTTGCAAGCCAGTGTGACGAGTACTGATACGAAGAGGCAGGAAGCAGACGCAGGAATAAACAAGGTCAAGGTTTACTTAATAATGAGAACGAGAATAACAAAAGAGAGCGTAAACGACACAACACTAAACAATCACACACAAGACAATACAGAACAGTCCAGGGCTAAATAGGGGTGGTGATGAGATGATGAGGTGCAGGTGCGCTGGAGGTGATTAGGGTGCGTTGGGTTTCCATTCCGGTGTTGCCGAGGAGGTGCGCTCAGACCGGTTGCTCAGTAGATCGGCGAATCAGAGCGCCGGAGGGGAGCAACGGGAGGAGACGTGACAGCCAGGGCCAAATGTATTTATATGAGCGAGACAGAGAATGTGATAATTTTATAAAATAGCAAGTAGTTATAATTTTCTGCATGAAATACCCTACTTCTTGAAAGTTGTGTATTGATTATATGCTGTATAGTATACGTGATGAATGATTATTACTGGCAAGCTACAGCTGCAATGTTGCTCATTGGATTACCCCATATAACAGCGTTCCCCAACTGGCGGACGAATTTGGCCCACGGGTGGTTTTATTTCGCCCCCAAGTTTTCTGAGCAAAAAAATAAATTATTTATTTATTTATTGTTGAACATGAAAGACTGTAAAAACACCAGGAAATCACCTCCAAATGATTTTAATATTGGAAATATTTTCCCAAGTATCCCCACGGATAATAGAAAGACACGTGATCGCATACAAATGTAAGCAAGGTTTGGAATTATTATGTTTGAGTCAAATATTGTATCTGTTTGGGCTTCTTGCGGTCAATTTGCAGTCTACAAATGATTTGTAATTATGTTTCAGCCCCCTGACCATCTGCTCAGCAAAATAAAATCGGCCCGCGGCTGAATCTAGTTGATGATCCCTAACATAAACATTCACTCACGTAGCCTATAGGCTACGTGAGTGAACGTTTATGAAGACAAAAAAAAAACAGATGGACACATGGAATTATTTGATTTGGATGGATGGTTGACATGACAGAAAGGTAGGCAGACATGTTCTTATCTAAAAGGTGGGTGAAACTTTGCTTCAGTATTTCTCGAGCGCATTAAAAGTTATGTGTGTTGTGTCACGCACAGTATATGGATGGACTCGGGCCAGGTAAAAAACCTTATAGCCTATTGCGCATTATATTCCAAAATTCTAACAGAACACACCAGCGACACCATTTAGGAGGTAAAGGTTGTGAGCAGTAGTGTTTCTGATCTGTTTGACAATTATCGTCTAATGTATTTTTGTGGCTACAATGCCATTTTTAGCTCACAGCATTTCTGCTTGGTTTCCAGAGAAAGGCATTGAAAGAGAGAAATTAAACTAGGCTACTACTGAGGTCTGATTATGCTTCTGACAATAGGCCTATAGTAAAAGGTGTGTTGTGTTGGTTGATGTGCTAAAGTCTGATGTATTTTGAAAGCTGCCAGTGACAGCGTTGTGTTTATGAGGAGTTCTCTTGTGCATGTGTTGTTGCATGAGCAGTAAGCTGAGCTGCTGTTTCCTCCTTGCTTGGCAGAGATCCCCAAAAAAGGTCAAATTGTGAACCGAGACCCAAATGTATCACTTTTTATTTTATTTTTCCCACATCAAATGAATATGCCATATCTCACAATCGATTGTCCTTCCCAAATGTTGCATGTTCACTGTTACAGAAAATTTATTATTTTCACAGATTTGCGTTATTACACCAAGTCCCCTGTAGCTCAGTTGGTAGAGCATGGAGCTTGCAACGCCAGTTGGAAAGGGAGAGTCATTTGGAGAGTGTTCAGCACAGGGCTCTATGGATTTGGCTGTGGCTGTTAATCTTAACTTCGTTCCTGTCAGAATGCATGTACTGCTGAGTCTGTGGAGCAGGCAACGCCCCTGGCATAAGTGTAAATTAAGACGTCTTCTCCATATGGTTAGTATAAAGAGCTACTGTATAGAGTAGGGCTGGGTGCCGGCCAGAGCCAAGGCTCTGAAATCATGGGTCTACACACACACGCACGCACACACACACACACTTCTGACATCATCAGGCTGCAGGAGTAGAACAAACATTTACAGAGACAGACAGAACAGCAGCATCTCATCTACAGACTCTGAGGAAGTGCATTTTGCTTATTGCTAGGATTTCTCTCTCTGCCGTGATAGAGCTAACACATGCTGGAACTCAAATCCCCTGAGTCAGCCTACAGGACTGGAAAAATTCATTCATATACTCTTCACTTTGTACATTGAGACTCTGGTTTGAGCTAGAACCATGTGTTTCTCAGTGGTATTGGACTAGTGCATTTGTCAGTTAGATATCCCCCATTATTTGGTGTAGGCCACAGATGCTATTTTAAGTTAAACTCAATTATGTAGCTTGAGCAGGTGCAATCTGAAAATGTTCCCCTCCAATTTTCCACTTCTCACTCCATCCTAATAAACACATTGTAAAGAAACAAAAAAGACCAAGTGGTCCAATTGTAGACATAATAATCAATTAGCTACAGTCTCTGTAAACCATTTTGAACAATTCTGAACTAGAACTTGAGCTACAATGAAAACAGTGACACATTTCTATTCTAAAAATAGTAGTTTGGTCCATATGCAGTGTAAAACCGTTAGTTTGTGATGTGTGGAAGCAAGCCATTGTGAGTGACACGCTGATTTATGCTCAGCCAGTGGCCAGCCGTAAACAGTGAGTCAGTGAGCCAGACTGTGTATGGCACCCCAGAGAGGGTTCCATTACCAACCACTACAATGACCCTGCTGTTATATTAGTCTATGGTACCACTTTACTGAGGCCCCATAGCATGCACACGCACACCCCTGCCAACACACGCACAAACCCACACACAGACACACACACACTCACTTACCTGCTGTGTAGACTGGTGTAGAAGCAGTGCTGTTGGTATCACTGTGCACACTGCTGGCCAGGGTCAGGGAAAGCAAAGCGGTGCAAAGCAGAGCTATCATTTTCTCTTTTTTTTTCACACCAAGGGGCCTCTTCACTAGAAATGCAAAGAAATTCAAAAAGAAAAGTCACACTAATTAGCTATGTAACAAATGTGTCAGAATCAAGAGTTTGTTTGTTTTCTTTCTTTTGTTCTTTCCTTCTTTTATGAGGTGTGCCAGTAACCCTGGTGGAGCTACTGGAAAGTTTGGGCTCTTTAGAGGTCCACACAAGTGCCTTTTATTGTAGCCCAGCATGGCTGAGACCACTCCCCCTCAGAGAGAGAGAGCCCATCACCCTGGCTCTATAAAGGCTTCCCTCAGCTACGTAATGTATGAACAGCTCTCCTCAACATCCCCACAACGTTAGGTGTCTCCACGCTGGTCTCTGCGAGGAGCAGAAAAGGTACACTATACTGTCTTCAACGTGTCCCTCAGGAGAGTCCACTGAACAAAGAAATATATTAAGAAATAGTGATATAGTGTCTATTCAGTTCCAAAGCAAAAAAAATACCTTTATCCACTCATTTTAATTACTTTTTGGTGATGATTTTGTTCCTGTGACCACAATGGTGCTTCTTCCATGTTCTATGTAGTGAGACTGCAGCACAACCTAAACTATTATAGTACTTTTACTATGGCTGTAAGTCCTGTTGTAATGTTTTACCTCCGCAACTGAAAGCCGAGCACCTTTACAGTTGAGAGGGGGGAAAGCGCCATCTTAAATACAGTGAAGGAAAAAAGTATTTGATCCCCTGCTGATTTTGTACGTTTGCCCACTGACAAAGACATGATCAGTCTATAATTTTAATGGTAGGTTTATTTGAACAGTGAGAGACAGAATAACAACAAAAAAATCTAGAAAAACGCATGTAAAAAATGTTATAAATTGATTTGCATTTTAATGAGGGAAATAAGTATTTGACCTCTCTGCAAAACATGACTTAGTATTTGGTGGCAAAACCCTTGTTGGCAATCACAGAGGTCAGACGTTTCTTGTAGTTGGCCACCAGGTTTGCACACATCTCAGAAGGGATTTTGTCCGACTCCTCTTTGCAGATCTTCTCCAAGTCATTAAGGGTTTGAGCCTGACGTTTGGCAACTCTAACCTTCATCTCCCTCCACAGATTTTCTATAGGATTAAGGTCTGGAGACTGGCTAGGCCACTCCAGGACCTTAATGTGCTTCTTCTTGAGCCACTCCTTTGTTGCCTTGGCTGTGTGTTTTGGGTCATTGTCATGCTGGAATACCCATCCACGACCCATTTTCAATGCCCTGGCTGAGGGAAGGAGGTTCTCACCCAAGATTTGACGGTACATGGCCCCGTCCATCGTCCCTTTGATGCGGTGAAGTTGTCCTGTCCCCCAAAGCATAATGTTTCCACCTCCGTGTTTGATGGTGGGGATGGTGTTCCTGGGGTCATAGGCAGCAGTCCTCCTCCTCCAAACACGGTGAGTTGAGTTGATGCCAAAGAGCTCGATTTTGGTCTCATCTGACCACAACACTTTCACCCAGTTCTCCTCTGAATCATTCAGATGTTCATTGGCAAACTTCAGACGGGCCTGTATATGTGCTTTCTTGAGCAGGGGGACCTTGCGGGCGCTGCAGGATTTCAGTCCATCACAGCGTAGTGGGTTACCAATTGTTTTCTTGGTGACTATGGTCCCAGCTGCCTTGAGATCTTTGACAAGATCTTCCCGTGTAGTTCTTGGCTGATTCCTCACCGTTCTCATGATCATTGCAACTCCACGAGGTGAGATCTTGCATGGAGCCCCAGGCCGAGGGAGATTGACAGTTATTTTGTGTTTCTTCTATTTGTGAATAATCACACCAACTGTTGTCACCTTCTCACCAAGCTGCTTGGGAATAGTATTGTAGCCCATTCCAGCCTTGAGTAGGTCTACAATCTTGTCCCTGACATCCTTGGAGAGCTCTTTGGTCTTGGCCATGGTGGAGAGTTTGGAATCTGATTGATTGATTGCTTCTGTGGACAGGTGTCTTTTATACAGGTAACACTCCCTTTTAAGAGTGTGCTCCTAATCTCAGCTTGTTACCTGTATAAAAGACACCTGAGAGCCAGAAATCTTTCTGATTGAGAGGGGGTCAAATACTTATTTCCCTCATTAAAATGCAAATCAATTTATAACATTTTTGACATGCGTTTTTCTGGATTTTTTTGTTGTTCTGTCTCTCACTGTTCAAATAAACCTACCATTAAAATTATAGACTGATCATTTCTTTGTCAGTGGGCAAACGTACAAAATCAGCAGGGGATCAAATACTTTTTTCCCTCACTGTAGAGGCTGCACCTGCCTGGGGTTTGTGTTGGGGTGTGTGGTGGCCTTCATTTGATTTCGCCTGCTCTTTCTTTTCGGCCCTTGGTGATATTTGAATTATTTCTACATCTAATTATGACGCAAGCACCTAAAATGTGCCTCGCTGCAAATATGTACAGTGTACCCAAAGTACACCTCACTGCAAACCACTCTCCGCGCCTTCACCTTATTTTTTCCCCCTAACCCCCTCTCTTTCTTTGGTTTCTTAGTCTAACGCTCTATGTACAGTGAAAGCCAATTTTCATTTAAAGTTGTTCTATGGCAGAGATGTGGGCAATAATAACTGACTAGATAGGGACACTATAGATAGTGCCCTATTCAATGAAGAGGACTCCACATTTAAACTCTAATCTGGAAAGCTCTTCAGGTCTTTCTGAACAGATTTGATGGGGCTACTTAGGCTATTCCAGGGGATGGCGGGTGAGGGGAGTAAGGAGGGGGCGTATGTGGTCTGTCTTAATCATTTTCTCAGCTGTCCGGATAGTCCTTGAGTGAAGGCAGCACTGGGAATGGAGGAACAAACCGCATATGGTGCCCTGGGCCACTCGATCACAAGAGTTGTTACAGCTGGGGGAATTCAACGTTTTTCTCTTTCTCTCTCTCGGTCTCTCTCTTTCGCTATCTCTCTATCTTTTTTTTTACACCCCCTGAGATGTGACAACACCCCTGTCACAGAACACCCTATGGGCCCCCTGTTGTATAGACTAAAGCCCCAGCTAATCACATCCTCCCCACCTAAACCTCCATCCACCGGAGATGTTACGTAAGGCTTAAGCCATAAGTTTACTACAGGGATGAGCAGAGATAGGAACTTGGAACATAAGCTAGCCAGATGCAACTTCAATCCTCTACTGTAAGTTGTCAGCAGTAGGATTCAGTAAAGATTGATCTAAAATGCAAGGGAACTCAATGTATGGTGCAATATCGCATAGATGAATACCTTTGCCTATACTTTCAAAAGATTCTAGTCCTGTGGTAGTTGATGTTTCAGCAATTACATTAAAATGTTTGGCAGATCGTATGAGCACTACAGACCTGCTCTAGGCTGGAAAGTAAATCTAATGAATGGCTGTGTAACCACTGGGGGATTTCACCTCAACATACAAGTCTATATAGTGTTCTCCTCTAATCAAAGCAAGCACCGCCAGTATTGTGATCATTTTCACCCCCATTGAGGGAAATACTTACAGACAAACCACAAGGGAAATGTAGATCCAGCAAACACACCAACCATTCTGCATCCAAACTTACAATGCTATTGAACCAGTTTATCTTGGATGTGAGCAGATTTTAACAGTATTGTTTTACTAGAATTGTCTATGGGAAAAATCATGTAAGTGTAGTTAGACACACAATCAACCTTTGAGGACACAACTGATACCTGATGTTCTCCAAACACTGGCTTTCTCGGTTACTTCGGCATTCCATGCTTTTTAAATAAGATCAAGGCTTAAAATCAGATTTTCCCAAGTGTTTTCCTTTCTGTTGTACTGATTTGGACACTCATAGTCTCTCAAGTTCCACCTTTTCCATAGTTTTTGTATTTTAGCAGCAACTTTGATCATCACTTGAAACAAACCCATCCCACAGAATCCAAGCCAAAGATCATTGACCATGACGAAGATCCCTCAGTAACAATGTAATAGAAAACCATTCATTAACCCCCTAGAGTTGATTTCTGGCCCGTGGAAATAAATTAGCATAATACAAAAATCACCATAAAAATCTGTCTGTTTGTTCGTTCGATATGGTGGGATCTTTTTGTGTCGGTAAAAGGAATTATGTGACAAATTGTTGTGGAAACGATTTCTTGCGCAAGTATTGCTAGAATAGCGATGCTATGTTGTATGGTCCTCTTACCACGACTTGAAAAAGCTGCATTGTTTATTAGGCTACAGATTAAATAAATTATGATGAACTTCACAGGTTGGTGAAACTGCACGGTTATGAGCTTGATGCTCCTTTCCAATAAATATCACGTTTTTTAATCTGTATGCAAGTGACATGATGATCAGTGTTTAGCTGCCAATTAACAAATAAGAATGATCTTGCTCTTATCCGTCTCATCATATTACCTAACTTGTCAACTTTATCAGCAAACTGTTGAATGCACGAAAACCAGATTGGGCAAGTGTGCCATTTAACTCAACATTTTGCATGACAAAACCATTAATAGATTGGAAAATGCAATGGAAACACATTGAACTTAAGTTTTTTATTTGGAACTGTACATGATAACTTTTTTATGTGCGCTACATCATCATGAACAGCCTTTTATCCACAACAAGTCAGTTTTGATGGAAATAAACCTCTGGTGGGAAAATGTGCATATTTAATGCAGATTTTATAATAATTGCATGAAAATCTGTCGCAAATTGGATGGAACCAAGCTAGTGTTTAGAACTTAATCACTGGCATATTGGCCTTTAACACAGTCCTGTTGAAAGACTGGTTTAAACGCCGCTGTTTTGGTATTTGGTATTTATTAGGATCCCCATTAGCCACTGCAACAGCTACTCTTCCTTGGGTCCACATGAAACATGACATAATACATAGTACAGAACATTATTAGTTATGGACTGAAATACATACATTTCAAACGTCACACATAGTGTACATATCAGTACATACACACAATATCTAGGTCTAATACATAGTACAGTGCAAATTACAATACAATACATATAAAATGTCTGTTTCTTCACAGTCCCCTTTGTGCAGTAAGGTGTTCCTTTTATCTGTTTTTTTTCAACTGTTTTTATTGCTAGCTTGAGTTGCCTGGGGTGATAGATGTTCCATGTAGTTCATGGCTCTATTTAATACTGTGCGTTTCCCAGCCTCTGTTCTGGACCTGGGGACTGTGAAGAGACCTCTGGTTGCATGTCTTG